GTTACGTACGTACGTACGTTACGTACGTACGTACTACGTACGTTCTACTTACGTACTACTCTACTACTCTACTCTACTCTCTCTCTCTCTCTCTCTCTCTCTCTCTCTCTCTCTCTCTCTCTCTCTCTCTCTCTCTCTCTCTCTCATTTTGCATGTTTAAGTTTCTGGTATTCGTGTGTGGATTTGTTATTATTCGTGTGTGTGGATTTGTTATTCTAGTCTTATGGGATTGTTTTTTTTCCTGCATGATTCATGGTTTTACTCATCTGCAAGAAAAAATTGATGGGTCTATAAATTAATTCTTTGTTTTTTGATTGGAACTTTGTTCCTGGATTTCTTGAAATCTTACAGGTTCGTATCCATTCCAGATTATTGGTGTTCAATGGTACATGTCCAACAAGGAGGAGAGAACTGTACAAGGAATTAATGGCTTTTTGATGTATAGACATAAGGATTTATCATATATAACCCTACGAGAAGGGCATTTGAGGCTTATTTGTGCAGTGTATTCTAATTGGAACTGCAGTTTATGCATTATAATGCCTCAAACAGTTAGGTGGAGTGGTTTAAATTTCTATAATTGATATTTGGAGGGTGGGCTAATGTTAATCAATTGAAACGGGCACGTTGGTCCTGTGAAGTTTGTTTGCAAGTTGTTTAATTGGTGGAATATGATGATCTCTTCACAAGAATGAGAATATTTCTGGTTTGTGCATTGGGTTCCAAAATTATATCTATGTATTGGCTGTTGCAACTGAAATTTTGTCCTTCAAGAACCGAGAAGGTCTGTTTTAGAGCATTTTGAATTTTGGGGTTTTATTGGTTTTTACCAGGTGTTTCAGATTGCTGGATAAGGAATTTTCTTTTTGCTGATTCCAAAATACCCCATTGTTCGTACTTGTCAGAAAAGGTTGAGATTGGGAATTTTAATTTGAGATGGGGTCGAAGGAAATTGAAATCGAAGGGGCCAATCTCTTCATTCTTGGGTTGCTTTGCTATTGATCCACTTGAGCATTAGTGTTCTTAAAGATGTCTATCACAGAGGTCTCAATTCTACACCGCATGGCCATTGTTCTGGCTTTGCTTTGGGTGCTTTCATATTATAATTACTGCCATCCTGTGGTGTACATCGTATCATTCATTTATATTTACCTGGTAAGTTTGTGTACTTCACGCAAATTCCTATGTATTGTGAGTGACTGTGTTATGGTTGCGAGTGACTGTGTTATGGTTGCTTCTGTTATTTACTGTTTTGCTGCTTTGCTTCCAATTGGATAGTGGGTGCTTTACATGTTCTTTTTTGGGGACTATTATTTGAAGCTTAGAATTTGAAATTTGTAATACAAATAAATCATGCCAATGTCTGTGAAGGAAAAAATGGTTATATTTATGAGTACCTCCTCATTGTGTAGAAGGTAGGTCATGACTTGTTGTTGAAGATTGTGTCATTCTTCCCATTGTTTCACTGATAATACTGAAATGTTTGATATTCATTTCATCTCTTAGACGATTCATTTGGAAAGTGTATTTGAGGGAAGTACATTGTTGCCTTTATACAAATGATAAATCACGGAGCACTATAATACAAATACTAGACAATGAAAAGATACGAATAGAAATTATAATCTCCCAACACTATAGAAATTCATTTGGAAAGTATATTTTGTGTTAAACTAGCCTTTTATTGATTTTTAATTAAGTATGTTTAAACTATTACAGGTTATTGTTGAACTGTTGTGTTCATTCAATTGCATTTTCAATTATGTATGTTTATACTATTACAGGTTATTGTTGAACATCAGTGGTGAATGTGAGCAGTGCTCAAGTTATTACAGGTGATTGTTGAATGGATTGATTTCTTATTGCTTGCATTGTGCATGTGTGTTTGTATAAAGATCGAGATTTTTCGACATGAGGAAGTGCACGTCAGTCAGTGTGCGGCGGAAAGAGAGAAAAGAAAGGAAGCACCGTCGTGCGCGAGTGTCATCATGTGCGAAGTGCCGCCATGCGAACAGCAGTGTACATCGTCGTGCGCGGTAGAGAGCTTGCGCAGCAATAAGAAGAAAAAGAAGAAGAAAGTGCGCGCGGCATTAAGAAGAAGAAGAGATCGCTCGGCAATAAGAAGAAGAAGAATAAGGTGCACGTAGCAGTAAGAAACAGAATAAGAAAGTGAGCGCGTGGCAGTAAGAGGCAGAAAGAGAGCGTCGTTGTGCGCTGCATAAAGAGAGGCCGTCGTGCGCAACAGAGTTCACGCTGTTGTGCACGACAGGGAGTTCATGCCGCCGTGCGTAGCAGAGTTCACGTCATTGTGCGCGACAGGGAGTTCATGCTGCTGTGAGTGTTCTATTGTGAGTGCTTTTTGGCGCATGTAAGCCACTTGTATTCCTTGTCAGCCATTTGGATGCCACATGGATGCCATTTGTAACACTTTGGTTGTCACCTGCCAGCTGCCTCCCCTTTTGGTTTATAAATACTACCCCTCTCACCCCTCCTAGGACTTGTGTTCTCTCTCACTCACGAGTCCCCTTTCTAAAGACTTAGAATCATAACCTCTTGGAGCCATTTTGGGAGCTTGGGAACTTGGTCTTTGTAGGGATTTTGGGACACTTTTGGGTGCAAGTAAGTAAATCTAATATTCATGTCTCCATAGTTTTGGCTATAAGCTTGATTTTTTTGAATAAAGATGTGGCTATATTATGAAGTTTATGTTAGAATATGTATGTTTTTCCATAATTGTGATTCTTATTAGCATGATAAATTGAGCATTGAAATCATTTATGTTAGTTATGAAAATTTGTGAGAAAGTACCCATGTGCCTCTATTTTAAGATGAAAAAGGCCTTATGTCAATGTCCATCCTGGTTTGGAAGTTATTGGTCATTTCCTAGTGGTTTAGCATTAATCAGAGACATATTGGTCAGTGAACAGCCTCTCATAAGATATATAACAATTCTGGAATTTCATTGCAACCACAACAGAGACATATTCATACAAACAGCGGCATAATTCCCAAACCATAAAGAATTCCAACATGCTTCCAAAACCATTTTTGAAGTGAACACACTCGTCTTTCATTGAAAAGTGGTTTGAGATCATTTAGACACCATTTGGTCAGTAAACAGTTTAATGCAAAACAGCAATAGTCTTGAAAATTTACTGCAACTCACAATAGTGACATATTCATACAAACAGAGGCATAATTCCCAAGCCATAAAGAATTTCAATATGGTTCCAAAACTATTTTTTAAGTGGACATGCCCATATTTCATTCAAAAGTGGTTTGAGATCATTTGGATACAATTTGGTCAGTAAACAGTTCAGTGCAAAACATGCAATAGTTTTGAAAATTCACTACAACTCACAACAATAACATATTCATACAAACATGGGCATAATTCCCAAACCATAAAGAATTCCAACATGTTTCCAAAACTATTTTTTAAGTAGACACACCCATCTTTCATTTAAAAGTAGTTTGAGATCATTTGTACACCATTTGGTCAGTAAACAGTTCAGTACAAAACATGCAATAGTTTTGGAAATTCACTGCAACTCATAACATTGACATATTCATACAAACAGGGGCATAATTCTCAAACCATAAAGAATTTCAACATGGTTTCAAAACCATTTTTGAAGTGGACAGACCCATCTTTCATTCAAAAGTAGTTTGAGATCATTTGGACACCATTTGGTCAGTAAACAGTCCAATACAAAACATGCGATAGTTCTAGAAATTCACTGTAACTCACAACAGTGACATCTGTGCACGGTGGAAAGAGAAAAGAAAAGAAGTGCCACCGTGCACAGAGTAGTGTACACCGCCGTGCACAGTAGAGAGCGCACGCGGCAGTAAGAAGAAGAAGATAATATGCGTTGTAGTAAGAAGAGGAAGAAGAGAGCGTGCGCAACAGTAAGAAGAAGAATAAGAAGAAAAGTGCGTGCACGGCAGTAAGAAGAAAAAGAAGAAAGCGCGCGCGGCAATAAGAAGAAGAAGAAAAGAGCGTACGCGACAGTAAGAGACAGAAGAAGAGAGTGAGCACGCGACAGTAAGCGCTAGAAAGAGAGCGTCGTCTTGCGCTGCATAAAGAGAGGTTGTCGTGTGCAACGAAGTTCACGCGGCCATGCACAATAGATTTCTTGCCGTCGTGCGCGACAGGGAGTTCATGTCGCCGTGAGTGCTTTATGGCCCATATAAGCCACTTGTCAATCACTTGGATGCCACTTGTAGCCTCTTGGTTGCCACCTGCCAGCTGCCTTCCCCTCTTGGTTTATAAATACTACCCCTCACCCTTCCCAAGACTTTTGGTCTCTCTCACTCATGAGCCCCTTTTCCAAACACTTGGAATCTCAACCTCTTGGAGCCATTTTGGGAGCTTGGGAGCTTGGGAACTTGACCGGTGATGGGATTTTGGGACACTTTTGGGTTCAAGTAAGTATATCTAACATTCATGTCTCCATAGTTTTGGCTATAAGCTGGATTTTTTTGAATAAAGATGTTGCATGCTATGAAATTTATGTTAGAATACGCCTGTTTTTCCAAGACTGTGATTCTTATTAGCATGATAAATTGAGAATTGAAATCATTTCTGTTGGCTATGAAAATTTGTGGAAAAGTACCCATGTGCCTCTATTTTAAGATGGAAAACCTCTATTTTAAGATGGAAAAGACCTTGTGTCAATGTTCATCCTGGTTTGGAAGTTATGGGTCATTTCCTAAAGTATGTCAAAACTGTAAACTGCATTCCAAGAACTTTGCATGTTTTTAATTGGGGCTGTTTACTGACCAAATGGTATCCAAATGATCTCAAACCACTTTTAAATGAAAGATGGGTGTGTCCACTTCAAAAATAGTTTTGGAACCATGTTGAAATTCTTTATGGTTTGGGAATTATGCCCCTTGTTTGTATGAATATGTCACTGTTGTGAGTTGCAATGAATTTTCAGAATAATTGCATGTTTTGTATTGAACTGTTTACTGACCAAATGGTAATCTCAAATCACTTTTGAATGAAAGATGGGTGTGTCCACTTCAAAAATGGTTTTAGAACCATGTTGGAATTCTTTATGGTTTGGGAATTGTGCCCTTGTTTGTATGAATACGTCACTGTTATGAGTTGTAGTGAATTTTCAAAACTATTGCATATTTTGTACTGAACTGTTTACTGGTCAAATTGTATCCAAATGATCTCAAACCACTTTTGAATGAAAGATGGGTGTGTCCACTTCAAAAATAGTTTTGGAACCATGTTGGAATTCTTTATAGTTTGAGAATTATGCCCTTATTTGTATGAATATGTCACTGTTGTGAGTTGCAGTGAATTTCATAACTATTGCATGTTTTGTACTGAACTGTTTACTGATAAAATGGTGTCAAGATGATCTCAAACCACTTTTAAATGAAAGATGTGTGTGTCCATTTCAAAAATGGTTTTGGAACCATGTTGGAATTCTTTATAGTTTGGGAATTATGCCCATGTTTGTATGAATACGTCTCTGTTGTGGTTGCAGTGAAATTCTAGAATTGTTATATTTTTTATGAGAGGTTGTTCACTGATCAATATGTCTCTGATCAATGTTAAACCACTTTTAAATAAAAGGTGAATGAATACATTTTCAAATTGGTTTTGGGACCATGACAGAACTCTTTATGGATTGGAAGTTAGGCCAAATTTTCTAAGAGGTTATCATACTGAAAACCCTGTTTTGTTATAAATTATTGAATATGCATAGTTGAAATGAGGCATGCTTATGATATAGTGAATGCTCATTAACTCTTGAATAATTGTGATGAGTCATGCTTGGGCATGGATGAATGCTTATGAGATATGTATGTGCATGATTGTAATAAGACATGCCTATGATAAGAATGTGTTATAAAACACTGTGCAATGGGACATCCATTGGTAGTGGGGATCTGATATGGTAAGACTGTGATATGGAACACTACGTAATGGGCAATCCATTGATAGTATGATATGAGATACTGAGACTACTATATGAGGCACTACGCAATGGGTCATCCGTTGGTAGTGTAATATGTTGTAATGTAATAAGAATGTTATGCCGGTAGTTAAGATCTTTCCCCGACTCCCAATGATAGGAAGGGAGTTAGGATATGAATATGAATGTTGGGTAGGTCGTGCCCCAAATCTTTAAGAGCACTACCTATTGGGTTACCCATTGGTAGTGTAACACTCTCTCGCCAGAAAAGCATAAGGAGAGACTCGTATCTTGCAAGGCCACTGCTTATCAAACGCCCCAAAACGCGCTAGGGATTATGTGTGTGTATGAAGAAATTACGAAATGGTTCATTTATTTGTCAGTCTTCCCTCCTAAGTCAAGGTAAAAGTCTCAAGTAACAGGATTTGGCTTGACCTGATTGATAAGGCTTGTACTTTCAGAGTAGACGACACTAGGATTGTCTATATGCACTGTGTTTTGCCTGAATTACTAATCTGTTATTTTGATGAAAAGATGTGGTAAACTGTTAGCTCATGCGATGTATGATATTCTGACATGTGATTTACACTTTTTCCGCCATTGCTAAGGAATTGTGCTACATGACTCCATGTTATGAGACATGCATGGGGGATGTTTATGAATAGTATTGTATAGGGCGGAATACATGATGTTTGATCTGCTTATTGGGCTTTATAGCTCATTCTTCTGATTTCTCTATATAGAGCATCAGCCTGCGGTTTTTGAGAGCGGACGGCTGGGTAAATCGTGGCTGGCAGTTGAAGATCTGAGCTTGTCTATGCAGATAGTAGGTGTTTGATGGTGGAGGCCATATAGTTGTTTTGTTGAAGTCTTGTATGTTTTTTGTTGTTGGGCCTTAGTGCCTTGGACATGATTGTAATGAAATTTTGGAACCTGTATATATATAAATTGGTTTTATTTTATCCAGTTCTTTGTACCTTTGTGTTTGGGTTTTGGTTTTTTTTCGTGGTTTGCTTTGATTCCGTCTATCCAAAAGCGTTGAGCACACTCTCACAAGTGTGGTATTTGCTACTTTTGGTCACGGTCTCGCACTCTGTTGCCTTCCGGCTAGTACAGTAGGGATCAGGGGGTAAGGTCGTGATAGTTTGAATGGGCTAATTCCTTGGTGTTTGCATTTTCAATTATGCATGTTTAAACTATTATAGGTTATTGTTGAATAGGCCGGTTTTGTACATGGTTATATATGGATACATGAATTGTGCATGTTGCTTGACATGCATCACAAATGCTTTAATAAATAACATATAAATGTTGTGTGCCATTATAATCTTAGAGAGATAGAGAGCATACAAATGTTTTAAGGGACAAACAACAATGTTGGTTTATTGTTGAATGACGTATATTTTTTATATTGGAATATAAATGCATCAGTGGTAAATGTAAGTGGTGCACAAGTTATTACAGGTGATTGTTGAATGAGCTGATTTCTTACTGCTTGCATTACAGGTGATTGTTGAATGGGTTGTTTTCTTACTGTTTGCAATGTGCATGTGTGTTTGAATGGGCTGATTTCTTACTGCTTGCATTGTACATGTGTGTTTGAATAGGTTGCATTGTGCATGTGTGTTTGAATGGGTTGATTTATTGTTGAATGACGTATATTTTTTAGGTTGGGATATAGATGCATCAGTGGTGAATATAAGTAGTGTTCAAGTTATTACAGAAAAATAATATTGTACTTTACTTTCAATTGATATTGTATTCCAAAAAATAATATTCAACAAATTTTTTAAATAATATATGTCTCAATTTTAACATTTACATCTTGCCTTTTACTTAAGCTATATCTTCTTTAACTTCTCAAGAGGTTATCAAACACATCAACCAAAAACTTCTTAACTTTTTAGGAGGTTATCAAACGCAGAAACCATGAACTTTTTAACTTTTCAGGGATGTTATCAAACACAGAAATCGAAAACTTCTTCAGGAACTACTAATTTATAATTCTTCAGTAACTTCCAATTTCCAGTTCATGTTGTTTCAAACAAGCCCTTAGAGAACTTTGTGATATCCTTTGGAATTCAAATAATTGCTTAATATTTGAATCCCCAAAAATTCAAGTTCGACTTGGATATTTGAAAATTCTAAAAAATTGAATCACAAAGCATTCTATTTCTCTATTGGAATATTTGATAAGATTTGGTTTCTGCTTGCTCTCTCTCTCTCTCACTCATATTTCAACTCCCAACCCATCGGAATAGTGGTGGCAATGGGCTAGGTGGCCTAGCCCTCCCCAGTCAACTGGGCCCTAAAAAACTAGGCGGCCTAGGGCCGGGCAACCATGTCGCCCCATACACTTGGGCCATGGTCTCTTTGGCCGGTCAAAGGCCGGACCTGGGCCCTATAGGGACATGTATCTTCTAAGATTTCTTATTCTATACAAACAATAGACACCCATATTTCAAGAGATACCAAATCCAAGAGAGGCATCTCCATAAGACACCCATTTTCAAAGAATCAAGCAGGGCATTGAGAGATACATGATGACCATCTGCCTCGCAAAATCTGCAACTACAGTTTGCACAAGAAATGCATAAGTATCCAAGATGTGGAGTTAGGCATGAAGCCCACCTTCACAAGGACACATGTCCAGAGAACCATGCCCATGATCCTCTATCTCAAAAGATACCGTGTCTCATATGAAAGTTGTTGAATGAACATTCGCACAGTTTCAATAATTGCCATTCAACATATCAAAGGATTTTTTCTGTCCACTGCCACGATAATGGCTCCCGCTATCAGCAACCGTCTCCATTAAGAACATACTGATGGGCGCCTATATAGAGAGAGAACAAGATTAGAGTGATCGCAAGAATAAAGAGGGAAAAAAAAAGCAAAACAAGAGGATTGAAAGGGAAAAGTAACTGAAAAGGTGTGTTACTAACTAGAAAAACAAGGAAGCACATCAAGTATTAAGTCCTATGAGAAGGTGTAAAGGTAAAACTCGAAAAAAGACAGTTCATCAAATACAACGAGGTCTTTGGAGTAAGGTATCAAGGTAAAAGGCCATAATCAATTACTTTCTTCTCCAACTTTATTTATCTTCTTTCTCTTTTGTATTTTTTTCTAGGGAAATATACATATAAAATGTATTTTATTTTTTATATTTAAAAATAATTCTATATAGTTCATATTTTACAGTTAATTCTCTTTTTTTTAAGACATAAAGTGTGTTTTAATTGTATCTATTACATATACTGGATTATACTTAAATTTGAGATATCCATACTTTTCACCATCACACACCCATAAATATTATTAAAAATATTTTAAAATAAATAAAATTACAAACTACCCCCATACTATTTAGGGGTAGTTTGGTATTTTTATTTAAACTATTTTTTAGTACTTTTTTCTTGGTATATGATGGTAAGGAGCGTATGCATGTAAATTTGAGCTTAAAATGATATATAGAAAGAGAAATTTTAAATACACTTTATGTTCTCAAAAGTGAGACTAAATAGAAACATAAATAATCTACTAAACATGCAACAAATAGTAAGTAGATGAAAATTACAAAAAAACCCCAAGACTCCACTTTCTATGCAATTTATCCCCAACTTAACTTTTTCTCTCATTTTTTTCCCAAAAATACACTTTCTATGCAAATACCCTCCAACCAAATAAAAAATAAAAAAATGCCTAAACTACTCTCCCTTGCTTTTACCTTACCCACGCCTCTCTCTCCTCTGTGTAAGTGCGCTTCGGCACTGTGTAAGTGTGCTCTGGCATTGTGTAAGTGCACTCCGGCAGTGCAACACTCTGGAGTCACAGCGCTCCGGCACTGTGTATGTGCACTCTGGCACTGCATAAGTGCGCTCCGGCAATGCAACACTCTGGAGTCACAGTGCTTTGGCATTGTCTATGTGTGCTCTGACAGTGGATCATGCGCTCTGGCACTGTCTAAGTGCGCTTCGGCAGTGGAATCTGGAGTCACAGCGCTCCGACAGTGGAATTTGAAGTCACAACGCTCTGGCACTGTATACGTGCACTCCGGCAACAGATGATGTGCTCTGGCAGTGCAATACTCTAGAGTTACAGCACTCTGGCACTGTCTATGTGCGCTCCGGCAGTGGATCATGTGCTCCGGCACTGTGTAAGTGCGCTCCGACAATGTAATTTGGAGTCACAGTGCTCCAACACTGTGTATGTGCGGTCTAGCAGTGGATCATTCACTCCGGCACTGCGGTGGTTCGCTCCGACAATGAGCTTCGAAAGTCAATGTCAAATCGGGCCAAATTGATTTCTGTGTGAGGGAAGGGCATTTTCGTGTAAAAAAAAATGAATTTTTTCCCTTGGGGGGTATTTACATAGAAAGTGTGTTTTTTGGAAAAAAGTGAGAGAAAAAATTAGGTTGGAGGTAAGTTGCAGAAAAATGTGGTCTTGAGGGTTTTTCTAATTTTCCCTATAAAATAAGTATTCATGTAAATAATTTCATGGACATACCATGTAAAAATACATTGCTATGTGATAGCGATGCTCGCATATTTTTCGCAATGGGCGAGTCCATAGATATACGATGAGATTAGACAAATTGACAAATTATTCATAGAGGAAAAGTAAACAATAAATTTTTTTATAAAGCACAAATAACTTTTATTTATAGAATCTTTTGTTCTTTTGGGAATAGTTGTCGACATTTAAATGGAGGTTCAATAAAAGTATAAGTGCATTCGAATAAAATAAGAGAAATGATTCAATTTTAGAGTCCATCTTTGTGCTTTAGCCTTCCTTTTGCCTTTTGTTGTTATGAAATATCAGATATGCTTGTAACCATATATTTCACTATTCTTTAATTGCGAAAAATATTTAATGAGACACGTATTTCGAAAATTCTCCTTGTATTTAAAATTTTTTATATGGCGTATGGTACAACATCAACAATATTTCCTGAATGTTAGAAATTAATATTAAAAAGTAATCTTCTTTTTTCTTTTTTCTTTTTTTTGTATAAAATGAAATTGAGAAATATATATATATATATATATATATATAGGAAAAGTCTTTTCAATGCCTATAGGCAAAAATGAATAGTGATTTTTTCTACCTTCATCACCGTTCAAATTTCATCGCGTGGTCAAGATTGTCCGGTAGTATTTTATTTTTCATTTTTTTTCTACAAATCAAAATATCTTGAAATTTGGAGGTTATGTACATCTTACTGAGGCGCATCTAGTAAAAATATAAAAAAAATTATTTGTGAAAAATAAATTTATCAAGATACTTCTGAAACTTTTTAGGGGTATTTTGGTCAATATTTTTTATATAAAATATTTTTTTATAATTTTAAAAGATTCTCCTATTTTTGATGAATACACGCTTCAAATTTTAGGTCATTCTGATTTATAGAAAAAAAAATTAAAAATAAAACACTACTAGCCAATCGTGACCACGCAATGAACTTTAGACGATGATGGGGGTAGGTGAAATCACTGTTCCTTTTCGCTATAGGCGTTGCGTAGTATTTTCCTATATATATATATATATATATAGGAAAAGTCTTCCTAACACACCTATAGGCAAAATAACTAGTGTATTCACCTACCTACTATCACCGTCCAAATTTCATTGCGTGGTTACGATTGTCTAGTAGTGTTTTATTTTTCATATTTTTTTTTATAAATAGAAATGACATTAAATTTGGAAGGTATGTACATCTTACTGAGGTACATCTAATAAAAATATAAAAAACATTATCCGAAAAACAAATTAACCAAAATATCCCGAATATTTTGGGGGTATTTTGGTCAATTTTTTCATGTAAAATATTTTTTTTTATATTTTTCTAAGATTCCCCTATTTTTTATGAATATACGCTCCAAATTTTAAGTCATTCTGATTTGTAGAAAAAAAATAAAAAATAAAACAATACCGGACAATCGTGACCACGCGATGAACTTTTGACGGTGATAGGGGTAGGCGAAATCACTGTTCATTTTCGCCTATAGGCGTTGCGTAGTGTTTTCTATATATATACTGAGATTAGCCCACTAGTTCATATGAACATATGAGCCCAATGGTTTAGATTGAATCTGAGCCAATCTGACAGTCACAACCTCATTTCGTATTTTAATTTTAATTTTTTTTACAAATCTAAATAACTTGAAATTTTAATCGTCATTCTTCTCATCAAGATACATCGAATAAAAATATTTAAAAAATACTTCGCAAAAACTATGTAGTGCTCGTACCTTTTGTTAATGGTTGTAAAGCACTTCCGTTGTACTTAATAGAAGCTCTGCTTCTTTACCGAGGGTTGATACTCTCAACTTTGATGACAACATTTGAGACAATATCTATAAAATTTATGTGAAATATGAGTTGCTACGTATTATGTATAATATAAAGAAATATGAGTCTAGTTTTTTAATAACTTACATGATGCCTATTTTTACATCATCTAATATTCGCGAACCCAATTCCAAAGGTAAAAAATGAAAAGGGCAGAAGATGAATAAATGTTGGGCCGTCTCATCGCTAGTTTTGCACAAAATGTAAACATTTTGTATAATAAATTATCGTTTCCTTAAGTTATCTCTAGTTGCTACAAAGAAACAATTGAACTTTAAGCGAAACATGAAGTTTCTTTATCCGGGAAAGTCCTTAATCCAGTTGTTTATGTCGATCACAAAAGATAAGAATATATGTTAACTTAACTGTAAAATCTCCCAAGGTAGTAAGGTCCATGATCACATCATCCTGTAGATTAGGGAAAAGCTAGACATTATTTAATATGTTCAACAAAGTTTGATACTCATGAAGAAAAATATTACTCACTATCTAGTACCCGCAACGAATAGACCAAATAATGTTAGTATGAGCATCTCCACTAACCTTCTTTACTGTAGCTAATGGGTTTGAGACTTTAGAAAACACCTAAGGGAAAAGGTATTTCAGAGGGTAGTCACCAAACCATTTATCATGCTAGAAAAATGTGGATTCCCTATTACCCACTACTTTTTAGAAATGACAAAGATCTTCCTTGACTATCTCCCAACATATGATCTTCCCTCTCTTCATCTCTAAACTTTGCTCCAATGATTTAAAAACCGAATTGGTGACTAGGATCGGGCATTGCAAAAACCGGTCCGAATCGGTGAATCGGAGGTTCGTATCACTGTTTTACTGATAGTGAACTAGCGAAAAAGCATGTGTAAAAATAGCGAACCGGTCCAATCAGGTCAAGAATTGGTAAATCAAAGTTTTTACTGTAGCAAAACTCCATTTAAAGGTAGCAAATTGCCGGTTCTCTTATCGACCAGACGATTTCCTATATATTTATAGAACATGCACGAGGTGACTAATTCTCGAGTCAGATCGGGTGATTTCATACCGCCTTGCATGTTTTAAATCGTTGCTTTGCTCTCATGTTGTCAAGAGAGACGAGGTAAGGTTAGAGGAGAATTATAAATATGCGTCGGGTGGCGGTTCGGGGACAGGATGAGTCACTCTAGCCCAATAATGTATTCCAGGAAAGGGCTACAACCCTATCAAATTAAGTAAACCTGCACCTCGTAACTCATCAAAAATTGCAATTCAAGCATTAGAAAACCTTTGCATCAATCATCTCCTCTTGAGCATTATGATCGTGAAAAAAAAAAAGATTTTATGCTCTAAAAATAGTGTATATTGTAACAAATTATCTAGACCATCCATTTTGCCCTAAAAATAAATGTTAAAAAATTATTCAAGATCTTAATTCTGTACCAATTTTTTAGTTTCAAATTTTGTTATCGGTGTCGAAAATTGATTTTAAAGCCATATTAGAGATCTTTGTTGCCGAAACTGCTTTCAAGACATGGTTTTGATGTGACCTTCATTTCGTTTTCATAAAGACTAGGCCTTATAGAAACTTCATACCAGAAAAAAAAAGTTTGGACCGGAACAGGGCGAGGCGTGGTCTCAGTCTGAATTGTTGGTAGCCCTATTCAAGTCTAATCCACTCTTTTTTGTGGGGTGGGGCTGGTAAAACACTATCAATTTGAGGTTTACTAAAAGTAGAGCAGATAAATTTGATGTTTACCAAGGAGAGAGCAACGGTTCGTGAATGTGAAGGAGCAAACTTTGTTAATGTGAAAGAGATCCACTGCTTCGATTGGCCTGAGTTAAAAACCTGTAACCTTCAACCTCTTCAAAATGTTTTTATTAAAGATAATTATCACTAAGGCCCTATTTGATAACGTTTTTACTATTTCACCGAGAATCTTTGGAAAATACTTAGGATTCTAAAAGCACAAGGAAAGTTGATCCAATCACTTTTCTTAGATTTAAAATTTAGTTAGAAGTTTGAAACAATCAATTTTCCTTAACATTTTCCAACTATTTGAGGTGTGCTACATCAATGCTAGTTTGTTGTTCTGCTCTATCAAGGGTTATATCCTCAGTGAGTCCGTAAGCCTTCATATTTTTTCTCACTACTTCCAACCATATCCTTTTGGGCCTACTCTTAATCATTTTTTAGCTTTCCACTTGCATTAACTCGCACTTCCAAACAGGTGTTGCATTAGGTCTGCGCTGTACATGACCAACCCACCTATGTCTACTTTTTCTTAACTTATCACCTATTAGAGACACACCCAAGTTCTCCTAAATGAATTTATTTCGAATTCTATCATTTCTTGTCTTGCCATTCATCTATCTCAACATCATCATCTTAGTTATACTCATCTTATGGATATATTATTTCTCGACAATTTCCCTTATTTGAGAACATGACCGAAAAGTTGGTGGTCAGTTTCATGTGTGGCATATGGGGAACTATTAGTTTCAATGTATTGTACCGTATTCATAATAGGCTCTAGCGTAGAGAGAAAGTAGAGGGAGAGGCTCCTAGAGAAAGTGCCTAGAGGAGAGAGAGAATGAGAAAGCCCAAAGAAGAAGGTTTAGGGTAGGTAGATTAGACTGAGGTAGGGTCTAGAGGAGATAGCACAAATTTGTCGAGAAAAGAGAGAGAGAAAAAAAAAGAAAGGAAAATTACAAAAACCCCCAAACTCATACCCCAACAAGTTTTTTAACAATTTTTACCTCAAATTTAACTTTCGTAGCAAATACCCCCACACCAAAAAAAGGTAAAATAAAAACCAAAATACTCTCTGGAAAGCATGTGGTCCAACACAAAATAAAGGCGGTTTGACACATTGATTCTGGAAAGCTTGCAATCCGATACAAAATAGGGACAGTCCGACACTTTTGACATACTGTCCAACACAAAATGGTGGTGGTTCAACACTTTTGGCTTCTGAAAAGCATGTGGTCCGACACAAAATAAAGGCGGTCCGACACAAAATGGGGGCGGTCCAACACTAGACATTTTCGTCAAAAAAAAAAAAAACTTTTCGACTTGAGGGTATTTGCTTGAAAATTTCAATTTGGGATAAAAATTGCTAAAAAAAAAACTTGATTGGGCGCAAATTGTCTAGAAAGTTTGGGGGGGTTTTGTAATGTCCACCTAAAATTGGTAGACCCTAATGAGGTCACACTTCTAATAAATAACTCGAATGCATATAGTACAGGTGTGTTTGTAAGCATAAAAAACAACTAACTTAACTTTTTACTACAGGAAAAGACACCTACTATGCTTGTGACTTTCCCACTTGGCGGGGATGACCTCTAAATTTTTTTGAGCAACTTTCACCCAAACAAACAAGCTTCCCAACTGCTGAAAAGGTAGGAAAATACCTTTTCACGGTTATCAAACAAGCCCTAAAAAAAACGAAAAACAAAAAAGGTTCGTCGCACCTTGGTCTATTAGCATCTCCAACGCATCCGCCCATTTCAAACTTCGCGCGTAGTCTCTGGTGGAGCTTGTGTGGGCATCAAGAGACAGAGAGTAAGTGTTGAGAGAAAGCGCATTACCATTCCATAGTGTCCACAACCATGACCTTTCACCCTTCCAAATCCACACCAACAAACCAATCTCCAAGCATATTTTAGAGAGAAAAAACTATCTTAGAGAACAGAGGAGAGGTATGACATTGCCTTTGGGCACACACCCCACAAGCATCTCCATCGAAATGCCTACACAGCTACCAAATGCACAATCACGAATCGATTCCCACCTTTCTTTCTCACTCCACACCACCCCATCCTTCTGCTCTCACCTTCTCCCTCTCCCATCACTCCGAACCTCGCTGCCTCCATGCACAACTCCTCATCCATGGCCTCCAATTCTGCCTCCCCCTTGTTACAACCCTCTTACGATCCTATGCTCTCACTGGTCAAACGACGATTGCTCGTCTTCTTTTTGACCGAACCCACCCACTCGAGCCCCAGAGGCCTTTTCTCTGGAACACCATGTTCCATGCTTACATTATGCATCACAAGCACACTCAAGCTCTTTCTCTTTACAATAATATGCTCTCCTCGAAAGCCAAACCAGATGAGTTTACGTTCTCTACCATCCTCAAGTCTTGCCCGTTTCTTAATGGCATTGGTTCGCAGATCCATGGTCATTCCATCGTGACTGGGCGTGCCATCCATGCGTTCGTGGAGACTGCTCTGATTGACATGTATGCAAATATTGGAGACACTGACCAAGCTCTCCTAGTGTTTGATAGAAGTGCAAAGAGAGATGTGGTGACTTGGAATTCAATTATCAGCGGGCTCACGTTGAACAAAAATGGCCGAACCAGTTTGAGCATTGTTTCTCAGATGGCAAAGCAAGCAAGAGTAAGACCCAATCGCATCACTCTTATCAATGCCTTATCAGCTTGTGGTCAACTTCGAGCTTCTCGTAATGGGAAAGAAGCTCACGCTTATGCTCTCAGGCAAGGGCTAGGTTCCGGCTCAATTATGGTAGCCAATTCTATCATGGACATGTATTGCAAGTGCAGGTGCTTAAGCTTCGCAAAACGGGTGTTTTGTTCCATGTCTAAAAGTGACTGTGCTTCTTGGAATGTGATGATCTCAGGTTCATACAACAATGGGCACGAAATAGAGGCCATGATGCTCTTTAGAGAGATGCAATTGAGAGGCATGGGACTCTCGCTTGTCACACTTCTGATTGTTATCCCTGTGTGTGCGACGCTCAGAGCCTTGCAAGAAGGAAAAGAGATTCATTGCTTCCTTGTGAAAAATTGGTTATGGTCCGATGTCCGAGTCAAAACTGCCCTTGTTGACATGTATGCCAAGTGTAGCTTTGTCAATTACTCGAGAAAAGTGTTTGGATGCTTGAAACGAAAGGATGCAATATCCTGGAATGCCATGATCACGGGGTATGCTTTGAACTCACTCTGGACTGATGTTCTTGAACTTTCATGGCAGGCCCAACAAACTTGCTTGAAGCCTGATTCAGTAATAGTTAACTGTTTACTAACAGCCTCTACAAGTTTAAGGGTCCTGCACTATGGAAAATCAATCCACGCATACATGATTAGAAACGATATCGAGAGAGAGAGTTATCTTTTACACACCCTTGTTGTATTCTATGCAAAATGTGGGAGAATAGTGGAGGCATGTGCAACTCTCCTCATACATGCGCAAACAGATGCCATCCCATGGAATGCCATGTTTGACATCTATAACGAGAGTGGACATGCAATGGAGGCCTTGAACTTGTTTCAAAAGATGAGGACGCGGCACACAGAACCCAATTCAGTTACACTATTGTGCTTGCTATCAACATGTACCCATCTAACATCTTCGAAGAAAGGAGAAGCCATCCATGGATACATAGTCAAGCATGGATTCCATTTTGATGACGCCATCTGCACTTCTCTCGTAAAGATGTATGGTAAATGTGGAGACATAGAGTCTGCAAGATCCATTTTCAATAACATGGTTAGAAGAGATACAGTTTCGTGGAGCACTGTCATGGCTGCACATGGGGACCATGGTCTCGGCCTCACAGCTCTGCAACTATTTACGCAAATGAAATCAGAAAATGTGAAAATTGATTCAGCTGCCTTTACTGGAATATTGTCAGCTTGTACCCATTGTGGGCTTGTGGAAGAGGGTAAGAAGTGCTTTCAGAGCATGTTGAAAGATTTCTCACTTGAACCTGAACTTGAACACTATGCTTGTATGGTTGATCTTCTTGGAAGAGCAGGTCATCTAGAGGAAGCGGAAGAGTTCATAAGGAAAATGCCTATAGTACCTGATGCTGGAGTTTGGAGGCCTCTACTTGGAGCATGCAAGATCCATGGACATGTGCAGATGGGGGAACGAGTATTTGAACAGCTATCTACGTTAGAACCAGATAACATCGGGAATTATGTTTCATTGTCAAATATCTATGCGGAAGCTGCAAGATGGGATGGAGTTGCAAAAGTAAGAGCTTTGTTAGTAAGTAGAAGGTTGAAAAAGAATCCTGGGTGGAGCTATATTGAACATTATACTTGAGGAATGGTGGACATATTTTTTATCTGTGCTCAGACACGACATTGTTCCAAACGAATCGGGCTTGGGTCAAGATGGTTAAGGCTGGGTTTTCATAGCACAATGTCTCATGTTCCATTGCTATGTAACCTTGTCAAAAGAAAAACCATTGCATGTTCCAAATGTGCCATTATGGTGATTGAATACTTCTTTGTCAGTTAAAATGGAGGGTACATTTATGGAGAAACTAAGCACCTTACCTGAAATGTGGAAGATTAAGTTGCCCTATTGTTCCTGGTTGTGAAAGCTCTGACATGGTAAATCCATGATGTGTGTACTGTAGTCCTGTTGAATATGAGACTCATTTCTGAACCTTCTGAGAGTTGTGGATGAAGCTTGATGGCCATTGATAATGGTTGACAGATAAATGGGATCCTGTTTTTGCTTCCAGACAGTAGAAACAGAAAGAGATTGGGATTGATAATCACGAATCGGGAATGGGTTAGCAGTCGTGAGTTCAGCTTTGTAGCCTAGTGAAACATAGCTCTAACTCTAACTTCCCAGGTCTGGCCACTCGATTCAAATCTCACAGTTACAATGAGGTGCTCCAAATTCTGCGACATTTAGGATGCAGTGCACGTCCTCTATGGCTTCAGCTTCTTCCGCCAACCAAAAAAGACAAAAATGGAAAACTAAGGCTAGTATAGCATTATATCCAGGGAACAGTCTAGATAATGATATTAGCAATTCCATTTCAAAACCATAGTTAAATTTACAAAACTTCATGGGATTATGAACACCAAGATTACATAGTGAAACAAGGCCAATAACACAGATGATGGCCACAATATCATCAACAACAGACACCAAGAGCACTCCCACAATACACCCAACAAACCAAATCATCTATAAACTTGATACACAGCGTCCTACCAAACAAATGCCATGAAAGCCATATACCTAGTACTCTACCAAAGGGACTCCAGCGGTACCATAAAAAATCACAATGCTGCCAACTCACATCTCATCCTCTTCTTCTTCTTCACACTCAGCCTCATCATCAGCTGTTGCGTCCTGATACTGTTGATACTCTGAAACCAAATCATTCATATTGCTCTCAGCTTCAGTGAACTCCATCTCATCCATGCCCTCACCTGTATACCAGTGCAAGAAGGCCTTCCTCCTAAACATAACAGTGAACTGCTCACTCACCCTCCTAAACATCTCCTGAATGGCAGTAGAATTCCCAATAAAAGTAGAAGCCATCTTCAACCCTGTTGGTGGGATATCACAAACACTTGACTTCACATTGTGGGGGATCCACTCAACAAAGTAAGATGAGTTCTTGTTTTGGACATTGAGCATTTGTTCATCAACCTCTTTCGTAGACATCTTCCCTCTAAACATAGCTGAGGCAGTTAGATAGCGGCCATGGCGTGGGTCAGCAGCGCACATCATATTCTTGGCATCCCACATTTGTTGGGTGAGTTCGGGGACAGTTAGAGAACGGTATACTTGGGAGCCACGAGAGGTGAGAGGGGCGAAACCGACCATAAAGAAGTGGAGGCGAGGGAAAGGGATCAAGTTCACAGCCAGTTTTCTTAGGTCTGAGTTCAGTTGGCCTGGGAACCTTAGGCAACAGGTGCACCCACTCATTGTTGCAGAGATTAGATGGTTGAGGTCTCCGACTGCAAAACAAGAAGAGATTTATTTCCATTACTCAAGATTGATTCATGGAAGATATATAAGCAAGATATATAAGCAAGTGTAATTTTATTTTAATTAATGGAGGGTGAATCAAATCCTAAGCTATAGGTGTGTATGTTTTATTATTACAAGTCATGCAGAACTTTTTTTTTATTTTTTTTTGTGGGTGGGTGGGTGTGTTTTTGGTGGGGAGAATGGCACTTCAAGGGTTACAATAGTTCGGTACAAAGGAAATGATAGTTCTTGACATTTTGATGAAATGTGGGCAACTGGTCCTTTATCAGAAACATTTTTTTTGAGGAAATGGTTAACCTTTATCGGAAACATTTAGTCTGTTTTACCCAGTTTCATCAACAATCACAGACTGAATGGTTATTCTATCCTTCAAAATTAATGTAGTAGCACAATAAATTCTCAGCATTAGAGGACATGAAGAACCTAATACAGTAAGGACCCTTTAGTGAACACGAAGCACATATGGAATATCACAAACTAGAAAATCATTTTCAAAACTCAACAAATCTTGATTAAAAAACACTTCCAATCTTGGCAGACAAAAATATATAGCAAATATCTGAGAGACAAATACTTGGTTAAGAACAAAATCACATGAAGTTTGATAGAGTATTTTTAGCTTCTTTTTCTTTTTTTCGTGAAACTGATTAATATTTAGCTTTCTGTTTTCATGATTTGATTGAACTGGTAAACATTGAAGCACTTATCCAAACCTACAACCAATTTTTCAAATGTTAGATGAATTTTATTTTCTCCAGCTTGCAACAATTTCTCACACCAATTTCCAGTCAAAGTCGCATATGGGAGCTGGAATAAGCATGTCACCCCTGGCTATAAGTTTTACAATAATATGAATTGAATAGTCCTAAACAATAACAAGAATATTGCATATTCACTCGAATTACCAACCTCAATTGGTTTTAAAGCAAAACATCAGTGGCAAGCAAGCATACACGGGCCACTAACAGTTTGACTTGAACAATAATAGTTTTAAGAAAAAAATATAACCAATGGCAAAGAAAACTGGGGCACAGTGAAGCACTAAGAAAAGAACACATGATATGCAATTAATATTAAATTAGTTGTTAATAAGTATTTTTCCCAGTAAGGTTGGTGGTTAATATGTCCAAACAAGCTTGCAATAAAATAAACAAAAAACACATGCAATGCACAATGTGGATAAAGCACTCATAAAGTTTAGAATAGCTACTACAGACAAATCGCATTTAATAATATCAAATAAAATCTCGTAACATATATAAGCAAGATATTATATGGAAAACAATCTATACAATTTAGGCACCATATCATTGGAAACTTGAAGGGAAGTGCGCATACAAGTAGGTGTAGTCAGTTTCAGGGTCCTGAAACAAATGTCGTAGAGGGCTTCATTGTCAAGAACCATACATTCATCAGCATTCTCAACAAGCTGATGAACAGAGAGAGTAGCATTATATGGTTCCACCACTGTATCTGAGACCTTTGGTGAAGGGAATACAGAGAAGGTAAGCATCATTCTGTCAGGGTATTCCTCTCTGATCTTTGAGATTAATAGAGTCCCCATCCCTGACCCTGTTCCTCCTCCTAATGAGTGGCATACCTGAAAACCTGAGAGTGAAAATTTCAGGGAGTGAAATTTTCGTTGACAAACCACATGAAAATAAAGATAATTTTTTATCAAAACCAATATGTTTCTCAATACTACATGACAAGCCACTTAAAGGTACGAAAAGGAACAATACTTACAAGGCATGAAAAGGACTAAATAACTTATCGACATTTCAATAACCCATTTGCCAAATTCATTGAAGAGAACATGTAACAATTGATACACTGCACATTATTGGTTCATAATTTGTGTTGCTGAATAATATTTAGCTGAGGATCAAGTGGTGCTGCCACCACAACCTCAACCCCATTCCCACTTATGCATTCGAAAACCGCTAATTATTTCTAAACACAGGTAGGGGCCTGTTTTCCCCACTGATCTACCCAAAATAAAAAAAAAAAGTAAATTCTCTATGATGCATTTGAAACCGATCCTCTAGTTAATAATTGCATGGTTTTCTAAATAGTTAATGACTTACAAAATGGGTAAACATAGGAACTTCAATGGCTCTGCTTCCCAGAAAAGGAAAAGGCACAAAAGAATTAAGGTTTCTCAGCAACTTATAAAGTAAATCATGGTCACTTTTCCAAGATAAACAGCTGCTTTAGAGACAGCAAACTAAAAGACTGCCTATATTCCTGATTTGAATTTTAGATGCATGTACTTTTGACAAGGGATGGTATTCCAGAAGTTTGCAAATACAAGGTCTTCCCATAAATATTATCAAAGTAAATCCACATAGCTCGTAAAATTTCCAGAACAAAAACGAACAAAATAATAAAGGATATCACTGATTTCATGAGGATCGACAACCAGAATGCCAAAAGTTTAGGGGTATTTGTCACTGTTTCTTTACAAGTTACAATGCAAAAGACACTGAAAAACCTTCCAAAGTAAATCGACATAGCTCGTAAAATTTCCAGAACAAAAACGAACAAAATAATAAAGGATATCACTGATTTCATGAGGATCGACAACCAGAATGCCAAAAGTTTAGGGGTATTTGTCACTGTTTCTTTACAAGTTACAATGCAAAAGACACTGAAAAACCTTCCAAAAAATTGTGTCCATTCCATTCAAAATAAAATAACCATTCCATTCAAAATGAAATAACCCATGAAGCCAAGATGAATAGGGACTATCACAACTCTCTCTCTCTCTCATGTACGTGAATTTCACATCGCCAGCGGACCCCACATAAAGGCACAACAACAACATGGACAGCAAACACCAAGAGAAACACTGTGCTCAGAGACACAAAGCGTAACATTACCTTGGAGGCAATCACAGTTCTCTGCTTCTTTCCTCACAACATCGAGAACAGAATCGATTAGCTCCGCTCCTTCAGTGCAGTGCCCTTTTGCCCAGTTGTTTCCAGCTCCATTTTGGCCAAAAACAAAGTTATCAGGCCGGAAAATGCGGCCATACGGGCCTGATCTCAGGCTATCCATGGTTCCTGGTTCGAGGTCCATTAAAACAGCTCTAGGAACGTATCTACCCCCACTTGCCTCGTTGTAATAAACGTTGATTCTCTCTAATTGAACATCTGAGTTTCCATGATAAACACCAGAGGCATCGATTCCATGTTCATCGCATATAACCTCCCAGAACTTGGCTCCCATCTGGTTGCCGCATTGACCACCTTGAATGTGCAAAATTTCCCTCATTTTCTCCTCCTCAAACCCTATAACCCTACAACTACACCAATCGACCCTATAAAATCCTCGATTCTAGCTGCTCAACACTAGAAATCCCACTAAACTCAAAGATTAATCCTTAGAAATAGATTAATCCTTAGAAATAGCTCAATCGGAAGAACAGGAACCTTAAACCCTTGAAATCCTTTAACTGAATGCATAAATAACAGAGTCGAATGTTACAACCCTAGAATTTCAAACGTTCAAAGACCTCGAAAATCTCTCGAAATCACGAATGGACACTTAGGAGGCTACTCCAAATTTGAAGCTTCCACGCCAGAGCAGTCGCCTTAAAACCTAGAAATCTCAGAATTAAAAGCTTAAAACCCAAACTTTTCTGGAGTTCAACGGTAAAAAGCCAGAGATATTACTGAATCAGGACCTTAACTCAAGAAGCCTCCACTTGAATTGAAACCTTAAACCCAAGAAAACTGGAGAAGCCAGAGGCTAAAGTCGAACTCTACAATCATTTAAATGAAATAATGGGGGACCAGCAAACCCAATTTGCAAGCAAGGAACCCCAGAAGAGAGAGAGAGAGAGAGGAAAAGGCTGAGCCATGAATGGCTGGCTTCTCTGACCCTCAAAATAGCAAAAGACGAGCTTTCTCCACTTGGAAATTGAATGGTCAGTGATTTCTTGGTTCTCATTGATCCAACGGTTAAAGATAACTTATGGGCATTGGAGAACACATCGGCACCGTTGATTGGGGGAGGGAGAGTTGCTCGATGGTCAATTGCGAGATGAGTGAGGCAGACCTCCGCCCACTTGTTTGGAGAGAGAGAGTGTGTGTTTTACTCATTTCAGTGGGAATGCGCGGGAATTTTTTCTGATCCACCAGAATTCTCCTCGTCTCCTTTGAGAAAGGACGCCGTTAGCATGCTCCCAGCCCGCATATTGTAGAAGTGCGGGCTTGTCAATAAATATATTTTTTAAATATAATTTCATCCTAATTTTTAGAGAATATATAACGAAAATTGCTTTATACGGGCTGAACTGTATGGCTACATATGCGGTCCAAAAAGTGTAAAGCATCCATCTTAAAAATGGATGCAGGCAGGTGTTCCATATAACAATACTGGAAATTAACTAGAATTATTATTTTCAATTTTTAAAATTTATTTATTTTTTTATATTCATTATCTCCATGTTAGAGATTGCATGTCATTAAAAATTAAGTCTTAAAATCCATCTCAAAAATAGATTTATTGAGAGACTCGCATTTCTACATATGCGGGCTTGGCCACGTATAAACCGAGTCCTTTGAAAAAGGACGCGGTTAGCATGCGGCAGGCCCGCACATTGTAGAAATGCATGCTTGGCAATAAATATATTTTTAAAATATAATTTTATCCTAGATAATTTAAGATGGAGATCATGAATATGAAAAAAAAAAAATTTGAATGCTAAAAATAATAATTATATTAAAAAAACATTTAGATCGTTCGTTACAATTGTTTTTAGATGAGCTACCTATTTGCATCCATCTTTAAGATGGATGCTTTATACCTCTGGACTGCGTATTGTACAAATGTGGTCTAGCCCGCATGAAACAATTGTTCTTTGAAAAATATAACATAAAAAATTGATAATATCAACGGAAAAGGGGAAGTATTTGACAAGTGTGCTCAAAGTGTGGAACCAGGCCAAAAGAGGTTTAGTTTAGACATGGACTTTCAGGTCCAAGTCAAGTGGACTTGGATTGAGTTGGGTCCATGCGTCGACCCGACCCAATTCGCATTCTTACGTTGACTCGTTTGTTGACATGTGGTCCCTTTAAAATTCATCTTAAAGGCATATTTTTGTTATAGAATTTTAGGGTTTGCTGATTTCAACTAGATGATGACAATGAATTTAGGTTTCTTTCAGAAAATAAAATAGTTTCCACCATCCATTTTGGCATTAGAGGAGGCACCCATTTTTAAGGCCACGTTTGATGCATAAGGAGAGGCACAAATTTTGGTGAGTCAACTAACTCACAAAAATCGGGTCCTTACAAAAATATCATTGATATTTTATATTTTAGATTTACATTTTTTTTTTTGTTTTTTTTTACTCAAATGTCTCAAGTTCGAATAGCTCTGGGCCAATGTCTTTTATCTCGTTGTTTCACGACTGCTGGTACTAGATCAATGTTTTTGTACACAAACACCAGTTTAGTACTAGCAATTTGGAACTAATATATTTATCGATAGCTCAAAACTATAGCTCCGAGAAGGTGGCTCATATTTCATGTCTTATGCATGAAAACAGTAGCTTGTTTTGAACCAGTGATGAAGACAAATTTCCAATTCCTAGTTCCAAACTATTGTTTTTTAATTCATTAGTGGGATTTCGTGCATTGTACATAGGAATGAATAAAGCAACCATGCAAATAATCACGTAAATATACAATAAATAGTACGAACATATGCAATAAGCATTTGCATAAATAATTACGTAAACTCTATTTCTGAGAGCTTCAATGGATATCCAATTTTATTGTACTTTTTTGGGTAAATTATGGGGAGCCATGTTGGCGCAATACGGCGAATATAGAAAATTAATAATAATATATTTATATAAACAAAAAAATGGTGGACTATGAAACATGATACTCCAATGCAAAGAAGGATTGTTTAGCGCTTGTATGAGTTACCCAAAAGCTACATCATTACACCGTGGCCCACTCCATCAAACTCATATTTAAAATGAATCCACTCAAACACCTTTCTAGAAAGACTAATCATTACACCGTGGCCCACTCCATCAAACTCAGATGTAAACTGAAGACTAATCATTACACCGTGGCCCACTCCATCACACTCATATGTATAATGAATCCACTCAATGCCTTCTTGAAAGACTAATCCTAGATGAAGTTTAAGCCAAGGATTTAACCTGGAATCAAATCAAACGATTTTTACGATATGGATCGGTTCATGACGTTATTAATACGGGTAGATGAACGAATCGAGTCGGACATACACGTATAAATACACATCGCAATAATATCTATGGAGCGCCTGCCTTCCACATTCTCGCAACTTGTTACACTACGTGTTCTTGAGAAGGTAAAGCAATATATATATTTTTGTTATCCAAAAGTAGACAAATACTTTGGAGTGGTATGATTGGTAGCTCTTTCATTTTCCTTGCTAGGTGTTGTAAGTTTCGAACCCTCTCGATTACAGTCCAATGTCTCGTCAATAAACAAGCATTGGATTTTTTGTCAAAAGAAATTTATAAAAAAATTAAAAAATTAAAAAGTTATAAAAATATAAAAAAAAAAGTTATAAAAAATTATAAAAAAGAAGTTATAAAAATAAAAAAAAGTTATCTTTTGATAAATAAAATAAAAATTATGAAAGTAAATAAATAAAAGTTATATTGACAAAAAAATAAAATTTATGACAAAAAAATAAAAATCATTTTAACAAATAATTAATTTTTGTCAAAAAATAAAAGTTACTTTAGCAAAAAAAATAAAATTTATTTTCACAAAAAAGTTACATTGACAAAAAAATAAAAGTTATGACAAACTGAAATAGTCTATAATTCTTTTTTTTTATTTTTAAGATTTAAATCTTAAAAAATATTAATTATATATTTATTTATTTAATGGTGAAAGATCATGTCAGCCCAATGGCATAAAACACCAATGGCCCAAATTGAATATGGACCGATCTAACGATCATGGATGTCCAATAGTATTTGAGTTTTAATTTTTTTTATACAAATCGGAATGATCTGAAATTTGGAGCGTGTGTACATAAAAAATAGGCGAATCTTTGAAAAATATATAAAAAATATATTTTACATGAAAAAATAACCAAAATATCCCTGTAAATTTTTAGGGGTATTTTGGTCAATTATTTTTTATGGATTATTTTTTTGGGTGTGCCTTGATGAAAATAACATATACCAAAAATTTCAAATGATTTGAATTTATAGAAAAAAAATTAAAATTCAAACACGAAAAGAAGTCGTGACCATCATATCAGCCCAAATTCATTATAGGCCATTGGCGTTTACTGTAGCGGTTAGCTAGTGGGCATACTGAATCCACTCCTATATTTAATTACATATAATTACAAAAATAAAATGTTATATAATAATTTACAAAACTTAACATAATTATATGAAATTATTGTTTGTTTATGTGAATAACTTAAATATAATTATGTTAAATTTTTGTCAATATACTTATTTTTACATACACTAAATTATTTTTAAATTATATGAAAGTTTTTTACTAATATTTTTAAATTATTTTGATTTAATATTATAATACTATATTATAATTAATAGTTATAATTAGGGATTTAAAAAACAACGAGTCAACTCGGTGGTGGTAATTACATTATATGATAAAAAATAAAAAAAATTATTATTATTAATGATTGGGTGCACATCACCCCTATCTTCAACTAAACAAATCTAAATTTACCTACCCAAATAAAACATAAAAATTGTATTAGGCTATTATATCACGAGATTATTTCATTATATGATTAATAGTTAAGAGTAACGATCCTATGACACCCTCCCACACTCATGTGTATAGGACCCCAAAGGGTTACTATTAAATTTGGCACATATCTTTAGAAAAGCTATCACATAGGTGCGGGGCTTGACTTTTATGGAAATTTGTGCTAAATTTAATTGTGATCATTTGGGGTCCTACACACATGCGTCTGGGAGGGTCTCGTAGGATCATTACTTAATAATTAATTAAGTAGTTAATTGAGATTAAAAATTAGTACTAGCTCATAGGATATTAAAAAACAAACATAATACTAATTCTAGTTTATTGAATATTAAAAAATATTAGTTTAGATGATATTTTAAGAGAGAAAAATAACACTAACTCATACCACTTTAGAACTTATTTATACATTAATAACCAAATCTTTTATTTTTTATTTTTTAATTTATTTACATTATAAATTATATGATATACTATTTTTTCTTCCAGTTGTCAATAATACAT